CCGAGATTGCCCGAGAATCTCCGACATAACCACTTCCGGCCCCCGCACACACGTCTCTGAGAGAGACAGACACAGTCACAGACACACACACACACACACACACACACACACACACACACACACACACACACACACACACACACACACACACACACACACACACACACACACACACACACACACACACACACACACACACACACACACACACACACACACACACACACACCACGCAGGCACCGCTCGCGCGGCCATGCGACCCGGCTCCAGACCCCGAGAGGACTGCTCCCCAGACCCGCCGGCCCTCTTACACAGTGGTGTCTCTTCACAGGCGTGGATCGAGTATGTCCAGCTGGCGACGAGCGCAGCGCACTGAGCACCGCAGCGGCTTGCGCTCGGCCAGTAGTCTTGCGACGCACGGAAGGCCTCAGGGCAAAACTGGGCGCTGCTCGAGCCTCCTCGCGTCGGAGGAGCGGCGAGGGGGGAACCAACTCAGAGCAGGGTGGTCGGGCTGATCATCTGCTTGCGTGGACCGCGATGCCGTCGCGCGCACGCCCTGGCCCGTGTCTCGCTGCCTCTGGCCCGGCGCTGAGTCGCCCCTTCTGATTGGCCTTCTGCTCGCGTTTTTGATCCCTTATTCTCGGCGTCTTTTCGCAGCTGTGAGCGCTGTCAGAGCGGTGTTTCGACACCGATATCGTTCAAGGAGAACGCTGATTCAAAATCCGCTGTTCACACTTCACAGGTAAGTGTAAGCGGAGCAGCTGAGTTGATACAGCGAATCCTTTGTGTTCACACCTGCAAGAGCAGGTGTGAACCGATTTCGGCCTTAGCCGTCGGTATGCCAATAGCGTGCTAGCCAAGTAGTACGCAGTTGGATTCCGAGGGTGTCCCATCACAAGTTCGGCTGCCGACAGACAAGATTGTCCCTTAGTCGACAGCACCCGCCTTTGGACGGTGCTCTGACTGGCTTTGAGAATACGTCCACCCATACCGCGTTGGTGTCCAGTGGTCCGAGCCTGGCTGTTCTTCACCTTTCTACCTACCGCTACCTACCTGGCTTGTCTCGCTTGCGGCGCCGTGTGTTGGCGTTTTGAATCTCGGGGTGCGCGCTTTAAGTTTTGCGAGCACTTTTCTTAAGGTTGCGATTTATTTTTGGCCTACTCAGTGGACCGTCTAAGCGGCCCTAAATGGCCTACAATGCCTCTCAGAGCCCTCGCTCTCAGAGCCCTCGCTCGTCATCCTTTACGACATTCTTTACGACATATCTCACATCATCTTCAACCCGTACACCGCTCAACTCTGCGTCGCCGCCTTCAGCTCCAGACCAGCCATCACCCTCGCCACGTTACTACCTGGGGTCTGGGCCGCCGGCAAAGGGAAGAAGAAGAAGGAGCCGCCCGTCTATGCTCTTTATATCCCTCGACTCGGACGCGGCATCTTCAGCTGCTGGGATCTCTGCGCTGCACATGGGGCAATCGGCGGCAGCGGAGCGATCCACAAAAAGTACGACACCCCATTAGCGCGGCTCGACCTCTTTGAGTCACTGCCTTCCCGGCGGTTTGGCTGTAGAGCCTCTACAACAAACTCTACAGCAAAATCGCGCTCTACATCGCTCTACAACGGAGGCGCATCGTCACGCGGCGGATGTAGAGCTCTACAGCTCTACAGCGCTCCAGAGCGCTCTACATCTCTACAGCTCTACAGCGCTCTACACTCTACATCCTCTACACCCTCCCTCAGGGCAGATGCTGCTCCGCCGCCTCTGCCGCCTCTGGCCCAGGACAGACACGTCCCCACCTTTGCAGGATTTTGCAAAAGCGAGGGGGGAGGGCTCATCGCCGCGCGGAGAGGGCTGGGCACAGGGCACAGGGGATCTCTCTCGCATAGGATATGTGCACTCGGCAGCACGAGGGCAGGGCTGGGCGTCCTATTTGTGCTCCCCCCTGGACCCCTCACTCTCTGGCACTATCCATCTGACCACTCATCTGCGGGGCTTGGCGAGCGGCCGCGCTGCGGGGCAGGGCTGATGAGAATGGGCTCTGGGTGTATCGTGACAGCTTGACGACGGGATTACCACAGGTGTTTCGTCCACCTCGGAGTCGTCTTCCCCGGCTTCCTTGCGTTCAGCGTGGCTCACCCTCCATGCCGTGAACAGGCGCTTTATCCACTCTAATCGCGGCAAGCCAAGGGGGGTCCACACAAATCATTCATCTCGCTAAGCTGTTCTCTACTTCTCTTTCCTTAGTCCTGTGTGTGTGGTGGCGGCGTGGCGGCCTGTGGCTGTGCCGTTCTCCCATCCCTCCCATCCCTCCCATCCCTCTCTCGTGCCTCGAGATCCCTCCCTTGTACATATCACAACCTAACGGGCGCTGCACCGCGTGCACCGCCGGGCCATCGACGGATAGCCCCGTCGCCGCCGGCGCCGATCCCGGCGGCACCGCTCCTCTGGCGGCGAATTGCGAGCCGAGCATATCGAGGTATCCCTGCCCCTGCCCAGCCGCCTCGGACGAGTCGATCTTGCCGTCGTTGTTCTTGTCGAGCTCGTTGGCGAGGTCGCGCTTGAGGTAAGCGAGCACGACCATGTGGTTAGCCCCTCTCGACGCCGCTCCCCTCGCCGCCGGTGGCGACCGCGCCGCCGACGTCGGTCGCGCTGGACGGCAGCGCGTCCCCAGCCTCGCCGTCGCTCTTCTCGCCGTCGCTCGCTTCGCCCCGCCGCTGGTATTAGGGGCCGCGCTGCCGGCGCCGAGCGTCACCTGCCTCCACGTCTCTTCCTCTAAGGAGAGGAGAGGCTCGCCGCGGGCTGCCGCAGCACGTAGTGTCGGCCGTACTCCGCCACGCCCGCGAGGACGTCAGCCGCTCACCGTCTCGACCGCCGCCTCAATTGGCGGAGGGGCTCGACCCGTCGTTCCGTGACCTACCCGCTACCGCGCCAGCAGAAGGGGCTCCTGGCGCGCCGCCCGTCGGTCGACGCCCTCGCCCCTGCGCTCCACCAACAACGCCGTCGCTGTCCTCGCCGACGTGACCGTGAGGCCAGCCCATCGCCATTGGATGCAGCCGAGATGCAAAATCCCAGTGCCTGATCCCCCGAGACCCCCCTGGACGCGTCCACCCTCCGTCCAATCGAGCCGTCCCCTAAAATACATACATATTTTTCTTTTTGGTTCACATGGCTAGAGGTTGGCCTCCCACCGTTGTGAACATAGTCTGGCCCGAAGGAGCCGCTCGTCTCTTGTCCGGGCAAACGCGCGCCCGATAGCCCCATTAAGCACGTGTGAGGGGTATCCGAGCGCCGTAAACTCCCTGAGCTTGCTCGTCACGCTGAGCGTGAGTCCCTCGTCATCGCTCGCCATTGCGACAACCTTGAGCAGGCATCCAACAACGATTCCCTCCTTTTTTGCGGTGTGCGCTGCGCCGCGCAAAACCAAAGCAAGGAGCCCCCATCCCCACCCCCACCCCCACCCACCCACCCACCCACACCCGAACCCCCAAACGGCTTTTATTCCCCCTCTTAAAGCCGTATCATCCGCGCAGGTCCCCAGCTCCACCTCCAGCGTCCAGGGCAGGGAAGCCTCCTCCAGAGAACACACGCTCAGGAGCCTCCTGGTCATGCGGAGCGGCATCTAGGAGAGGAGCATCTCAGCACCCGTATCATCTCAGTCATCCTTAGGTAAGATGGCTATTTAGGAGCCAGCACAGCCATTCTGGTATGAAACTTGGAGCACTTGGAGTGCATTCGGCAACCTCACATCCAGGGCCGGGGAGCTATGAAGCGCACCCAGCGGGCCGGATGCTCGACATCGGGTTGCGGGCAAGAGAGCCCTAGCCCTGGGGGGTGCGCGTGAAACACAGAATGTTTTAACATAAACTTTTTGAGCAGGTGTGACGCCGCGCGAGCGACGCTCCGAGATCGCCCGAGATAGCGCGGCGCGGCGGTGGGTGAGGTGGGGTGGGGGGTGGGGGGGGCGGCGTGGCGTGGAGCTCCGAGATAGCGCGAGATCGCCCGAGATCGCGCGGCGCGGCCCGAGATCGCCCGAGATCGCGCGGTTCTGCGGTCGGCGAGGTGGGTGGGTTGGGAGCGAGGGGGCGGAAGTGTTCAGTGCGGTAGATGGCGAGCTCGAGGCGCGTGAGCCGGACTTGTGAGCCGGACCACCCCCTCTTGTTCTCTGCGTTGTTGAGCCAGGACTCAACATACTCGGGCTCGTAATCCCAAACTGTCACTCCCCTTTCTCCCGGCCGGGGTGGGGCGCGCGCGGGGGCGGCGGGTGTGCGGCGGGTGTGAGGGATGTCTGTGAGCCCGAGAGCGATATGCCATGTGCGCCTTGCGTTTGTTTTCATAACATCGAAGGGCTAAGCTCAAACATAAACACATATGAACGCAGTCCGCACGAGCGGCGAGGGTGGCGCGGAGGCCGCGCCGAGCAGCGAGGCGGTGCCAGAGGAGGTCGTGATAGCGGCTGGGCAAGGCGAGGAGGCGCCGGTGCTGGCGTGGCTTGACGGCGGCGGGCGGGTCGACGCGACGTTCGAGTACACCTTTGGTGTCGGCTGCTGTTCGAGCGGCATGACGCTGCTGATGCTCGCAATGGCCAACGGCTACGCGGGGCTGTCCGAGGCGCTTCTGCGGCGCGGTGCGGATGTCTCGTTGAAGAACAGCAACGGCTGCACCGCGCTGAGCCTCGCCGCCTTTAACGGCCGCGAGAAGCTGGTCGAGCTGGCATTGCGGCACGGCGCGGAGATCGACCAGAAAGGCCGCAATGGCATGACTGCGCTGATGCAGGCCTCAGGTGGCGGCGATGAGCGGGTGGTCGACGCGCTGAGTCGACGCGGCGCAGAGATCAACCTGCAGGACAGCGCCGGCAGCACAGCGCTGATGTTCGCCGCGCACTACGGCCATCCCGCCGTGGTGCTTCGTTTGCTGCGGGCGGGCGCTGACATGACGTTGCGCACTAGCGGCGGCAGGACGGCGCTGCAGATTGCCACAAAGGCGGGCCGCACCGAGTGCGTCGATGCTTTCAGGACGTACCTCGGGGAGCTGGGTGCGGCGCGGAGCAAGGCGCCGTCGGCTGAGGCAGGCGGCGCGCAGGCGGGAGGAGAAGACGCGAGCGAGGCGGCGGCGAGCGGCGAGGGTGGAGAGGCGGCCGCGCCGAGCAGCGGGGCGGTGCTAGAGGAGGTGATGCTAGCGGCAAAGCGAGGCGAGGAGGCGGCGGTGCTGGCGTGGCTCGATTGCGGCGGGCGGATCGACGTGACGTTCGAGTACACCTTTAGTGATGGCACCCGTTTGAGCGGCATGACGCTGCTGATGGTCGCAACCGCGTGCAGCCACGAGGCGCTAGCTGAGGCGCTTCTGCGGCGCGGCGCAGATGTCTCGTTGCAGAGCAGCGGCGGTGGCACCGCGCTGGTTCTCGCCGCCACCAACGGCTACGAGAAGTTGGTCGAGCTGGTATTGCGGCACGGCGCGGAGATCAATCAGAGACGCTGCACGACCGGCGGCACTGCGCTGATGGAGGCCGCATACAGAGGCCACGAGCGGGTGGTAGACACGCTCATTCGGCACGGCGCGGAGATCGACCCGAATTGCCGCAATGGCTACACTGCGCTGATGCACGCCGCCGGGAACGGCCACGAGCGGGTGGTCGACACGCTGATCCGGCACGGCGCGGCGATGAACCTGCAGGCCATCGACGGCGATACCGCACTGATTCTTGCCGCTTATTTTGGACAATCCGACGTCGTGCGGCAGCTGCTGAGGGCGGGCGCAGATATGACGCTGTGCAATAACAAAGGCATGACCGCGCTGCACTATGCCAAGGAGAAGGGCCACCCCGAGTGTGCGCGCGCCCTCGAGGAGCATGCGGTGGCCAAGGCGGCGGCCGAGGCGGCGGCGGAGGAGGCGGCGAGGGCTGCGAAGGCGGCGGCGAGGGAGGCGGAGAGGTCGGCGCAGGAGAAGGAGGCGGCGCGGCACGCCGAGGAGCTGCTGGCGGAGGTCGAGGCGGAGAAGCGCGCCAAGGGCAAGAAGGGCAAGAAGAAGAAGAAGGGCGGCGGGGCGGGCGGGGCGGGGCCGTCGCAGGAGACGGAGGAGGGTGCCGAGGCGCCGGCAGAGGCAGCCGCAGCCAAGCCCGCGCCGTTGGACAGGGAGGGGCTGCTCCGGCTTCTCGAGAAGTGTCACGAGGAGCGGATCCGGCTCGGCATCACGGCGGAGAGCCAGGCGGCGGCGTCGGCAGAGGTGGCTAAGGCGGTGCGTTTGGACGCGGAGGCGGACGAGGCGGAGGACGCGGCGGAGGCGGACGAGGAGGAAGAGGCGGCGGCCGAGGCGGCGCTGGCAGCTGCCAAGGTGGCGAGGGCGGAGGCCAGGGCGGCGGAAGCGGCGGCCAAGGCGGCGCTGGAGGAGGCCAAGGCGGCGCTGGAGGCAAGGTTGGCGGTGGCTATGGCGGCGCGTGAACAGAGCGAGGCGGCGCTTGAGGAGGCGGCGGCCGCTGCAGACGCGAAGCGTGCTGCTGCGGCCGCTTCGAGGGCCAGGGCGGCCACTGCCAGGACTGCGGCGGAGGCAGCGCAGCGCTCGTAGTACGCAGAGCGAAGAGAGCGTCCGTGCATTTTGATGACGTAATTCTCCTTTTATCGCGAGAAAAATCGAAGAGTGTGAGCTGTGAGCTGTTACACACAGGCTGAGTGTGAATGCAATCACAGGCCGGAGGGGCCGCCGGGCACAGGCTGGCGCAGTTTGTATTTTACTCGAGGGAGCGGGCGGTGCCCCCGCGCCCCGGTGCCGAGCTAGGGGTAGGGCAGAGTGCCCAATTATGTTGTTTTCGTCTCCGCTTTATTTCTTCAATTTTTTCGTGAAGAACATGTGAGGTGATTTTCCGCCTCCTTCCTTGAGTTTTTGTTTTTCTTGTGGTCCCTCACTCCTTTCTGTCCGCGATGCCAGCCCTGCGGACTCTCACGCGTCGCCGGCGGCGGACGCGGAGGAGGGCGCGTGAGAGTTGCCCCACCCCTCGCTGCGGATGGTCGCATCGATAAAGTCGAGCGAGGCCGACGGCGGAACAAACTCGAACCCGGTCCCCTCGACGGTGAGCAGCAACTCCACGGCGCGGTCCAGCGAGAGGCACATCACGTCGAGGTCGTCGGCCGCGCCTACCCTCCGCCAGAGGCAAGACGGCCGTCTCATGGGGGGAGGGGTGCCGAGAGCTTTCCCTCGCCCACCGGCCCGCACCTACTCGCCAGCTCGTCACTCATGTGAGTCCCTTCCATCGGACATCCCGTGAAGAGCGTCGCGTCAAAAGTCGTCCGCGCCGCCCTCTCCCTCGGTCGCGTCGGCGGCGTCTCGCACCTGGGTCCACGAGCAAAGGTTAGCGGAGGGCGGCCACATGTACATGCATGTTGTGGCCGAGATGCAGCCGAGTGCAGCCGAGATGCAGCCGAGATGCAACCGAAGTGCAGCCGAGGTGCAGCCGAGATGTGCGCCTAGGACGATACCTCTCCCCGTGACATCCCCACCCTCTCTTTAACACGCGGTGTGTTGTCGACGGCCCAGTCAGCAAGCATATGGGGCCCGAGCTCCGCGGCTCACGGCCCGAACTCCGCCCCTCCC